GCTTCCACCAGGCAGGTGCTCCGTAGCTTCCACCAGGCAGGTGCCTAGTAGCTTCCACCAGGCAGGTGCTCCGTAGCTTCCACAAGGCAGGTGCCTAGTAGCTTCCTCTAGGCAGGTGTGCCTTAGCTTCCACCAGGCAGGTGCCTAGTAGGTTCCACCAGGCAGGTGCCTAGTAGGTTCCACAAGGCATGTGGCCCATAGCTTCCACCAGGCAGTTGCGCCGTAGGCTCCACCAGGCAGGTGCCTAATAGATTCCACCAGGCAGGTGCGCCGTAGCTTCCACCAGGCAGGTGCCCCATAGCTTCCACCAAGCAGGCGCTAAGTAGCTTCCACCAGGCAGCTGCCCCGTAGCTTCCACCAAGCAGGCGCTAAGTAGCTTCCACCAGGCAGGTACTCCGTAACTTCCACCAGGCAGGTGCCCCGTAGCTTGCACCAGGCAGGTGCCTAGTAGCTTCCACGAGGCAGGTGCCTAGTAGCTTCCACCAGGCAGGTGCCTAGAAGCTACCACCAGGCAGGTGCCCCATAGCTTCCACCAGGCAGGTGCAAAGTAGCTTCCACCAGGCAGGCACTAAGTAGCTTCCACCAGGCAGGTGCCCCGTAGCTTCCACCAGGCAGGTTCTCCGTAGCTTCCACCAGGCAGATGCCCCGTAACTTCCACCAAGCAGGTGCCTAGTAGCTTCCATCAGGCAGGTGCCTAGTAGCTTCCGCCAGGAAGGTGCCCCGTGGCTTCCAACAGGCAGGTGCCTATTAGCTTTCACCAGGCAGGTGCCTAGTACCTTCCACCAGGCAGGTGCTCCGTAGCTTCCAACAGGCAGGTGCCTATTAGCTTCCACCAGGCAGGTACCCCGTAGCTTCCACCAGGCAGTTGCTAAGTAGCTACCACCAGGCAGGTGCCTAGAAGTTTCCACCAGGCAGGTGCCCCATAGTTTCCACCAGGCAGGCGCCTAGTAGCTTCCACCCGGCAGGTGCCTAGTAGCTTCCACCATGCAGGTGTCTAGTAGCTTCCACCCGGCAGGTTCCTAGTAATTTCTACCATGCAGGCGCCTAGTAGGTTCCTCCAGGCAGATGCTTAGTAACTTCCTCCAGGCAGGTGCCTAGTGTCTTACACCAGGCAAGTGCCTAGTAGCTTCCACCTGGTAAGATAAGATAAGATAAGATTTCGTTCGGATTTTTAACCCCGGAGGGTTAGCCACCCAGGATAACCCAAGAAAGTCAGTGCGTCATCGAGGACTGTCTAACTTATTTCCATTGGGGTCCTTAATCTTGTCCCCCAGGATGCGACCCACACCAGTCGACTAACACCCAGGTACCTATTTGCTGCTAGGTGAACAGGACAACAGGTGTAAGGAAACGTGTCGAATGTTTCCACCCGCCGGGAATCGAACCCGGGCCCTCCGTGTGTGAAGCGGGAGCTTTAGCCACCAGGCCACCGGGCCACCGGTGCCTAGTAGCTTCCACCAGGCAGGTTCCTAGTAGCTTCCACCAGGCGGGTGCCTAGTAGCTTTCTCCAGGAAGGTGCCTAGCAGCTTACACCAGTAGGTGCCCCGTATCTTCTTCCAGGCAGGTACCCCGTAGCTTCTACCAGGCAGGTGCCTAGAAGTTTCCACCAGGCAGGTGCGTAGTAGCTTCCACCAGGCATGTGCCTAGTAGCTTCCACCAGGCAGGTGCCTAGTAGCTTCCACTATGCAGGCGCCTAGTAGCTTCCACCAGGCAGGTGCCTAGTAGCTTCCACAAGGCAGGTGCCTAGTATCTTCCACTATGCAGGCGCCTAGTATCTTCCACCAAGCAGACGCCTAGTAGCTTCCACCAGGCATATGTCTAGTAGCTTCCTCCAAGCAGGTGCCTAGTAGCCTCCTCCAGGCATACATCTAGTAGCTTCGTCCAGGCAGGTGCCTAGTAGCTTCCACAAAGCAAGTGCCTAGTAGCCTCCTCCAGGCATAAGTCTAGTAGCTTCCTCCAGGCATGTACCTAGTAGCTTCCACAAAGCAAGTGCCTAGTAGCTTCCACCAGGCAGATGCTTAGTAACTTCCACCAGGCAAGTACCTAATAGCTTCCACCAGGCAGGTGCCTAGTAGCTTCCACCAGGCAGATGCTTAGTAACTTCCTCCAGGCAGGTGCCTAGTAGCTTCCACCAAGCAAGTGCCTAGTAGCTTCCACCAGGCATGTGCCTAGTAGCTTCCACCAGGCAGGTTCCTAGTAGCTTCCAGCAGGCGGGTGCCTAGTAGCTTCGTCCAGGCAGGTGACTAGTAGCTTACACCAGGAGATACCCCGTAGCTTCTTCCAGGCAGGTGCCCCGTAGCTTATATCAGGCAGGTGCCTAGAAGCTTCCACGAGCCAGGCGCCTAGTAGCTTCCACCAGGGAGGCACCTTGTAGCTTCCACTAGGCAGGTGCATAGTAGCTTGCACCAGGCAGGTGCCGAGTAACTTCCAGCAGGCAGGCGCCTAGTAGCTTCCACCAGGCATTTGCCTAGTAGCTTCCAACAGGCAGGTAACTAGTAGCTTCTACCAGGCAGGTTCCTAGTAGCTTGCGCCAGGCAGGTGCCTAGTAGGTTCCACTAGGCAGGTACATAGTAATTTCCACCAGGTAGGTGCCTAGATAAGATAAGATAAGATAAGATTTCGTTCGGATTTTTAACCCATGAGGGTTAGCCACCCAGGATAACCCAAGAAAGTCAGTGCGCCATCGAGGACTGTCTAACTTATTTCCATTGGGGTCCTTAATCTTGTCCCCCAGGATGCGACCCACACCAGTCGACTAACACCTAGGTACCTATTTGCTGCTAGGTGAACAGGACAACAGGTGTAAGGAAACGTGTCGAAATGTTTCCACCCTCCGGGAATCGAACCCGGGCCCTCCGTGTGTGAAGCGGGAGCTTTAGCCACCAGGCCACCGAGTAGCTTCCAACAGACAGGTGCCTAGTAGTTTCCACTAGGCAGGTGTCTTGAAGCCTCCAACAGGCAGGTGCCTTGTAGCTTCCACCAGGCAGGTGCCAAGTAGCTTCCACCAGGCAGGTGCCTAGTAGCTTCCACCAGGAAGGCGCCTAGTAGCTTCCACAAGGCAGGTGCCCCGTAGTTTCCATCAGGCAGGTGCCCCGTAGCTTCCACCAGGCAGGTACCTAGTAGCTTCCACCAGGCAGATGCCTAGTAGCTTCCAACAGGCAGGTAACTAGTAGCTTCTACAAGGCAGATGTCCTGTAGCTTCAACCAGTGCAGGTTCCTAGTAGCTTGTGCCAGGCATGTGCCTAGTAGGTTCCACTAGGAAGGTACCTAGTAGTTTTTACCAGGTAGGTGCCTAGTAACTTGCAACAGACAGGTGCCCCGTAGCTTCCTCCAGGCAGGTGCCTAGTAGCTTCCACCAGGCAGGTGCCTAGTAGCTTCCACCAGGCAGGTGCCCCGTAGCTTCCTCCATGCAGGAGCCCCGTAGCATCCTCCAGGCAGGTGCCTAGTTGCTTCCACCAGGCAGGTGCCTAGTAGCTTACACCAGGCAGGTGCCCCGTAGTTTCCACCAGGCAGGTGCCTAGTAGCTTCCACCAGGCAGGTGCCCCGTAGTTTCCACCAGGTAGGTGCCTAGTAGCTTCCACTGCGCAGGCGCCTTGAAGCTTCCACCAGGCTGGTGCCTAGTAGCTTCAACCAGGCAGGTTCATAATAGCTTGCACTCGGCAGGTGCCTAGTAGCTTCCACTAGTCAGTTACCTAGTAGCTTCCACCAGGTAGGTGTCTAGTAGCTTCCAACAGACATGTGCCTAGTAGCTTCCATCGGGTAGGTGCCCTGTAGCTTCCACCAGGCAAGCACGTAGTAGCTTCCACCAGGCAGGTGCCCCGTAGCTTCCACCACGCATGTGCCCCGTAGCTTCCACCAGGCAGGTGTCCCGTAGCTTCCACCAGGCAGGTGCCCCGTATCATCCACCAAGCAGGTGCTCCGTAGCTTTCACCAGGCAGGCGCCTAGTAGCTTCCAGCATGCAGGCGCCTAGTAGCTTCCACCAGGCAGGCGCCTAGTAGCTTCCACCAAGCAGGTGCCTAATAGCTTCCACCAGGCAGGTGCCTAGTAGCTTCCACAATGCAGGCGCCTATTAGCTTCCACCAGGCAGGCGCCTAGTAGCTTCCACCAGGCAGGTGCCCCGTAGCTTCCACCAGGCAGGCGCCTAGTAGCTTCCACCAGACAGGCGCCTAGTAGCTTCCACCAGGCAGGTGTCTAGTAGCTTCCACCAGGTAGGTGCCTAGTAGCTTCCACCAGGCAGGTGCCTAGTAACTTCCACCAGGCAGGTGCCTTGTAGCTTCCACCAAGCAGGTGCCTAGTAGCTTCCACCAAGCAGGTGCCTAGTAGCTTCCACCAAGCAGGTGCCTAGTAGCTTCCACCAAGCAGGTGCCCCGTAGCTTCCACCAGGCTTGTGCCCCGTAGCTTCCACCAGGCAGGTGTCCCGTAGCTTCCACCAGGCAGGTGCCCCGTATCATCCACCAAGCAGGTGCTCCGTAGCTTTCACCAGGCAGGCGCCTAGTAGCTTCCAGCATGCAGGCGCCTAGTAGCTTCCACCAGGCAGGCGCCTAGTAGCTTCCACCAAGCAGGTGCCTAATAGCTTCCACCAGGCAGGTGCCTAGTAGCTTCCACAATGCAGGCGCCTATTAGCTTCCACCAGGCAGGCGCCTAGTAGCTTCCACCAGGCAGGTGCCCCATAGCTTCCACCAGGCAGGCGCCTAATAGCTTCCACCAGACAGGCGCCTAGTAGCTTCCACCAGGCAGGTGTCTAGTAGCTTCCACCAGGTAGGTGCCTAGTAGCTCCCACCAGGCAGGTGCCTAGTAGCTTCCACCAGGCAGGTGCCTAGTAGCTTCTACCAGGGAGGTTCCCCGTAGCTTCCACCAAGCAGCCCATCATATTTTTTATAGCAGGATGCCATCATTCAAAATAGATCAGTATAAAAAATAATCAAATTTAACTTCATTATAGGAATTCTGACTTTTGTCATGAGTTAATGATCCACAGAATGACTTTTTTTTTACTCACGGAAGGATTTAGCTGTCTTCATGCAGGAGCCAGGGCAGTTAGTGGTAATTTGAGTGCCCACTCCTCCGACGTAACACTTGAGGGCATATCCTGTCATTGAGGGAAGCAACTCTTACAATAATTTTTTTTTCAATTATAACATTAATAAATTCTACGAAACTGTATGTGTCAAGAAAATAAACAAAGATTTATGTTTCAAAACAATAATTTGGGTGGAGCTCTTTTACTGTTAAGATGTAAACGTCAACACAGCGATACCTCGACCAAATAAACACTAATTTTGCAAGTTGTTCCATTATTTAAAATCTCGTTCCGCTCAAGTTTAGCGCTCCCCATGATTATAATAATAATTTAAATCTCGTTAACAATAAGCCATTTAATCTATTATTGAGGTATTTGATAATTATGAAAACTGGTAAGAAAATTATAGAGATAATGAGCTTACCGGTGTGGAAGACGACCATGAGAGCAACAACAGCACAAACGACACTCCTCATTGTAGCTGTCTTCTTCTGTCAAGGAAATGAAACGTCATCACAATACTAGATCAACATCTCTTCACAATCATCTTACACTTCCTCACAAGGAATTTACACTTTCTGAAAGAATATAAACCTCACAAGAACTTTATACTTTCTCATAAGGAATATAGTGTTCACAAGGTACTTATTCACCTGCTTCTATTCTCTCACACAGGGAATGTAGTGTCTACCTGCGTGTATTCTCCCTCAAACCTTCGATGCACTTTGTGTTCTTGGATGACAATTTTTGATTCACTTACAATGTGCTGGAAAATTAATCAGAAATGCCGAGGTTGTAATGATTTGCATGAAGAATGAACCTGTGTGAGTCATTCAGCACAAGGTGAAGACTCGATCCTACGTTCACTAAACCTGTGTGAGTCATTCAGCACAAGGTGAAGACTCGATCCTACGTTCACTAAACCTGTGTGAGTCATTCAGCACAAGGTGAAGACTCGATCCTACGTTCACTAAACCTGTGTGAGTCATTCATCACAAGGTGAAGACTCGATCCTACGTTCACTAAACCTGTGTGAGTCATTCATCACAAGGTGAAGACTCGATCCTACGTTCACTAAACCTGTGTGAGTCATTCATCACAAGGTGAAGACTCGATCCTACGTTCACTAAACCTGTGTGAGTCATTCATCACAAGGTGAAGACTCGATCCTACGTTCACTAAACCTGTGTGAGTCATTCATCACAAGGTGAAGACTCGATCCTACGTTCACTAAACCTGTGTGAGTCATTCATCACAAGGTGAAGACTCGATCCTACGTTCACTAAACCTGTGTGAGTCATTCAGCACAAGGTGAAGACTCGATCCTACGTTCACTAAACCTGTGTGAGTCATTCATCACAAGGTGAAGACTCGATCCTACGTTCACTAAACCTGTGTGAGTCATTCATCACAAGGTGAAGACTCGATCCTACGTTCACTAAACCTGTGTGAGTCATTCATCACAAGGTGAAGACTCGATCCTACGTTCACTAAACCTGTGTGAGTCATTCAGCACAAGGTGAAGACTCGATCCTACGTTCACTAAACCTGTGTGAGTCATTCAGCACAAGGTGAAGACTCGATCCTACGTTCACTAAACCTGTGTGAGTCATTCAGCACAAGGTGAAGACTCGATCCTACGTTCACTAAACCTGTGTGAGTCATTCAGCACAAGGTGAAGACTCGATCCTACGTTCACTAAACCTGTGTGAGTCATTCATCACAAGGTGAAGACTCGATCCTACGTTCACTAAACCTGTGTGAGTCATTCATCACAAGGTGAAGACTCGATCCTACGTTCACTAAACCTGTGTGAGTCATTCATCACAAGGTGAAGACTCGATCCAACGTTCACTAAACCTGTGTGAGTCATTCATCACAAGGTGAAGACTCGATCCTACGTTCACTAAACCTGTGTGAGTCATTCATCACAAGGTGAAGACTCGATCCTACGTTCACTAAACCTGTGTGAGTCATTCAGCAAAAATAATAATTATGGTGAGAAAATAATGAAATTAGTAATAAAAGTTACATAATAGTATAGTGGTAATAACACTTATGGGCTATAAACGATGCAGAGAGAAGACTGCAGTCAGTGGTAATGTTGTGCCTGAGGGCAATGTGTGGTGTGAATGTTGTGTAGACTAGAACGTGTAGGGTTAATGAAAGTATTGTCCAGAGGGGTAAGGATTGGGAAAGGTGGTTGGGCACTTCGAGAAAATGGATCAAAATAGGATGACATGGAAGGTGTAAAATAGGATGACATGGAGGGTGTAGAATAGGATGATATGGAGGGTGTAAAATAGGATGACATGGAGGGTGTAGAATAGGATGACATGGAGGGTGTAGAATAGGATGACATGGAGGGTGTAGAATAGGATGACATGGAGGGTGTAGAATAGGATGACATGGAGGGTGTAAAAGGTTAGAAAGGTTAGAGGGAGGAGGTAAAGAAGGTTTTCTATGGAAAGGGTTTGGACATCCAGCAGGCGTGAGCGAGCATGTTAGATAGGGGCAAGTGGAAGGAAAGCGTTATTTTTTTTAATTGATGGGCTTTTGGAGTGTGTTTATAAAGTAACATTTATGAAGGGATTCAGTGAAACCAGTTAGCCGGATTTCAGTATTGGAGGTTGTTACGACTCTGCTGTCGTAACTTAAATAAAATGTTCCTGCCTCCTAAAGGCTGCTGACACTGCTGTCTCGGGGTTATAAAATTACTCTGAAAAAACACAGCAAACCTTGTGCCAGCTTGTGCTCAAATATTAAATAAAATTATTATTAGGAAGGACAAAAACTCACCTATGTAAAAATATATCTATATTAATAATAGTAACTTATATACAACCTACAATCTACTACAAAAAACCACCACACTCCAGCACATTAACTCACTAGCACACTGCTACTGATGAGTTAAACAAAATAAATCATCAGGGAGGCACCATGACATACACACCCCCGTCTTCACTTCTGTCTGGTAGACTAATTACCAGCAGGCAAAACACCATACAGTACTCTCGCATAAACAGGCCTCTGCATAGTAGGGCCTTATAGATAAACATGAGAGCACTTAAACACAAACACCTATAGTATACACTAAAAAACTTAGCAAAATTACCTACTCAAACTACCGCCCAAATATGACGACTTTACCCCCGTCACCACCCGACTCCTACTGAACTAAACACATCTCTCATCTGCTCCTGTCCTGGCCACTGCCTCACTGACAGGAATAAAATGCGTTAGCTTTCAGGGAATAATACACGTCCATTTTCAGTATACTACACGGAAAATGACATTATATATGAAGTGTTATTTTATATATATTTTTTAAGCATGTCACTGCATAACAGAGGTGGAAAGTACAATGCCTCCAATCTGAAGGAGAGATGGGGATATTGCAGTTTGGAGGTGCTTCTGAGCTGTAATGTCGGCACAACTCTGGAAAGACTGTGATAGAATGATGAAAGTATTTCTTCTTTTTCGGGTCACCCTTCCTCTGTGGGAGACGGCCATTGTTAGAAAATGTATATTATTATTAATAATAATATAGATATGTCATGAGTGTACACTAGTTATGTATCATGTATGTAAACTTGTCATGTATACCCGAATAACCAATGAATGACTATTAGGGTTTGTATTTTCAAATACCGCCTCAGCTAGTATCCGACAAGTCAGTCGATATCCAAGCATGGGCGAGACTAGATAAGTGACTGTATGGCTTATATTATTCTTCCAATAAAGGCAGAAGAAACCGCCATGAAGTGTTATTGTACATGTCAGTCAAGGAACCCACTGTCAAACCTCCAAGACAGATATGGTATCAGCTGTCACTGAAATCCTGTTTATGTCTGCGATCTAGATGGTTTTATTTCTTGTCATTTGTGTATCACTGCGCATAGCTTTAATTAACAATATAGTGTTATATTAGGATATACTCATGTATGGTTTATTAAGAACACTGCAAGACTCAGTGTTAAACATTGCAGTGTAGTAACTTTTGCAGATGATCCTGCTTTGGGTATATTTTCTTGATGAATTAAACAATTGCACAAATGGAAACGTTTTGGCAGCCAGCAGCTTCCTCAGCCCAGTACAGAGAAGAATGGTTGAAGATCGGAAGAAACTTGATGAAATCAGTCCCACTGCCTGGAGTCAGTGAATTCAGTCCATCAATCTTTAAAAGAGTGAAGCTTATATACTGCAGACAGGCGAGGCGAAGCAGTTGTAGATGGTGTCATCTTGGATAAATCCACTGGTGAAGGAATGTCATGCCAATATGTCAGGCAATCGTACAGTTAGCTTCCTTAACCTGTAGGAATGACCTACTTCCAATATATATATATATATATATATATATATATATATATATATATATATATATATATATATATATATATATATATATAATATATATATATACATATATATATTTATATGTCGAGCCGAATATGTAAAACTGGTCAATCAGCAAGAACTCATTTAAAATTAAGTCCTTTCTAAAAATTTATCTTACACGTTTAAAGATATATTTTTTCATTAATGTTAATGTAAAAATTTTTAATTTTGCACCAAAAGAATCTTAGAAAACTTACCTAACCTTATTATAACAAGAACAATTTATTTTAGCCTAACCCAACTATATATATTTTAGATTTGTTTACAATAATTTAATACTAAACAAACACAGTGAAATATATTTTTTTCGTTAGGTTCAGAATGATTTTGGCGAAATTATTGCATACACAAATTTTCGCTTGTCCTATATGGCAAGATGAACGTTGCTATTTAAGCCAAGATCGCAAGTTCTGCCTATTCGGCACGACATATATATATATATATATATATATATATATATATATAATATATATATATATATATATATATATATATAATATATATATATATATATATATATACACACACACACACACACACACACACACACATACACACACACACACACACACACACACACACACACACACACACACACACACACACACACACACACACACACACACACACACACACGGAGTTTATCTGGAGAATGTTTCGAGGGTCAACGTCCCCGCAGCTCGGTTTGAGACTAGAATCAGGGCCTGATTAACCCGGCAGTTATTGTTGGCCGCATGCAAACCGACATACGAACCACAGCCTGGTTGATCAGGTACTGACTTTAGGTGCCTGTCCAGTGCCTTACTGAAGACAGCCAGGGGTCTATTGGTAATCCCCCTTATGTATGCTGGGAGTCAGTTGAACAGTCTTGGGCCCCTAACACTTATTTTGTTGTCTCTTAACGTGCTAGTGACACCCCTGCTTTTCATTGGGGGAATGTTGCATCATCTGCAGAGTCTTTTGCTTTCATAGAGAGTGATATTCGTGTGCAAGTTTAGTACTAATCCCGCTAGGATTTTCAAAGCGTATATAATCATATATCTCTCACGTCTGCGTTCTAGAGAGTACAGGTTGAGGAACTTTAGGCATT